TAAAAGAACTTCGTGAGTATATATCGTGTTTTATTTGATCTTATGATATTTTTTTTTAGGAACCGAATATACTGTCTCAAGTTGGAAATATTAACGTTACAATGTCTACCTATACTCCAAGAGTTTGTATCAACCAAAATATTTATATTTGGAGGAACTTTTCAAACCTATCAAAGGAATTGGATATTTTTCCTATAGTACTGGAGAAGACATTATTGCACCATCTGATGCAAAACTAAATTCTGTATTTATATTTGACGATGTGGCAGGTGACAAGCAGAATGTGATTCGTGATTATTTCAGTATGGGTCATCATAACAACATTGAATGTTTCAATCTCTCTCAAACTTATGCTAAAATTCCCAAACATTTGATAAGAGACAATGCAAATGTCATTAGCATATTTAAGCAAGATGATTTCAATTTGAAACATGTATATACTGATCACGTGGGTACCGACATGTCTTTTGAGGATTTTAAAAGTATTTGCTCGCACTGCTGGAGAAAACGGTACGATTTTCTATCAATTTTCAAAGATAGTAATATTGATAATGGAAGATATCGTAATCGATTGACAATTACATATATCTATAGATGCATCAGCTTCTATTTTTTATTTGTATAGTAAAAGTTTTAAGCATACTACGTAGAAGATTTAAAAATGTTTGAAACACCCTCTAAAAGTGATAAAGTATTGAAAAAGAAATTAATTTTGAAAAGAAAAATTATACGAGAAAAAGTGAATTTGTTGAAAAAAGGACAAATACTACAAGAAAATCTTTTTCAACCCATCATGAAACACTTGACGAATATTGAAACTCAATTGGATAAAAATCAAAATCTGGAACAACAACAAGAAAAGACAACAATCGCAATACCAACAACAAAAAAATTGAAAAAGGAACAGGATGAAGAAGAAAATTACGATTATGAAGAAGAAGATGACGTATCTGAAAAAGTAAATTTAGAATTGTTGAATCCTACAACACAGTCCTCCTCCTCGTCGGTTGCTGGTGCCGCTGATACGACTCCACATGTTGGCAAACCAACAAAAATCAAACGGAAATTACCTTTCACACAACTTAGTGATAAAAAAACAAAAAAATCAGATCAACCACAACATAGTTATAATTTAAGAAAGTTACTGCTCAGGGACAATGTTGAAAAAAATGCTACAGATGAAGAGGAAGCTAGAAAACAAAAGGATTTCAATGAATCTCGTCAAAGTGAATTTTTAAGCCTGTCACAAACTGAATATTTGGATCAATTTGATCCATTGCTGGCAAAATATACAGGGTGTCCCAAAAAGATACCGACAAACTTCAAGCGGTAGTAGGGGACCTCAAAACAAGCATTTTTGTTTATATAAACATATGTCCGCAAATGAGCCATTTGGGCTGTAGAGCAAAAAAACTGTTTAGTATCTAGTTTTATTCTTCGCAATAATTAAATCACTGTTTACTTATTAATTTTCCTTTAATAGCAAATAAATTATGGTTTACAATAATTGTTCTACTCGCGAACTCTTTGGAATATTCCGGGAATAGCTTCTACATGGGTACAACTCGCCAGTATCCTTGCTATCAGATCTTCCTCATTACGAACAGGTGTTTCGTAGACTGAACTTTTCAGTCAATGACCCGACGGTGTAATCTTTGCATTGAAGTAAATGGTCAACATTTTGAACAACTATTGTAAACCATAATTGATTTGATAATAAAGCAAAATTAATAAGTAAACAGTGATTTAATTATTGCGAAGAATAAAAGTATCAAACAGTTTTTTTGCTCTACAGCCCAAATGGCTCATTTGCGGACATATGTTTATATAAACAAAAATGCTTGTTTTGATGTCCCCTACTACCCCTTAAAGTTTGTCGGTATCTTTTTGGGACACCCTGTATACAAGAATTTATAAATGACCCTGCTACTGATCCAACGTTATAGGGAAATGTTTTACCTAAATTTCGTATAAGACGTGATGAAATTGATAATTTCTACATTGGTGATTCCAAAGTCGAAATCTTTGGATCTGATTTATTAGTGAAAGGTAGAAGATACAGAGGAACCCCAGGATTGTAAGGGTTACTATTCAGAGAAAATATGCCTAAAAGATATACGAAGGATGATGAAGCTGATTTTAAGGACATTATCTCAAGAACCAATATAAATAGAAAAAGGTTCAAGACCACTGGAGATGAAAATGACAGTCAATCTGAAAAATTTAAACTACTTTTCGGGCCTCTAACAACTACTGGAAATGGAGTGATTGCATCATCAGCAAAAATGGAATATTCCAACGACTCAATTGATTACGTCTACTGGGATGATCCAAATGAACTTGTTGAACGCTTACAACTGTTACTTGCTTCCCAAACGGCAGGCAATACAAATCATAACAACGAGATCAACGCAATGGTGGAAGAGTTACGAGAAGCAGGCATTGTTGAATAATAAAATGGGTAAAGTTAGTGTTTCTGATGTAAAGCGACAAGTTGTTAACGAGATACATAAACCTGCATGAATTAATTTCTCTAGACGTAAAGTGATTATAAAAACTTCAAATGATTTATTTCAAGCTGACCTAGTTGAAATGATTCCATATGCAAATACAAACAGTGGTTTCAAGTATATTCTGGTTGTTATTAATAGTTTTTCAAAATATGTTTGGGCTTTACCTCTCAAATCCAAAACAGCAAGTGAAGTTTCAAAAGCGATGGGAAAAGTTTTCAAGGGACAGATACCGGTACATTTACAAACATACTTTCATACTGAATTTTACAACTCTTCAATGAAGAAACTATTGGACAAATATCACATTAAGCACTATAGCAGTTTAAGTGAGAAAAAGGCACAAATTGTGGAACGAGTCAATAGAACTTTGAAAAATTTCATGTGGAAGGAATTCAATTATCAAGGATCATATAAGTGGATAGACATACTGCCTAGAATAGTAAAATTTTATAACAATAGAATACACAGGACAATTGGTATGAAACCTGTCGAGGTTAGAAAACGGCACGAGAAACTTCTCTTGGATACAGTTTACAATAGAATTAAGATCGCCTCTAAGCCAAAATTCAATATTGGTGATCATGTTCGTATATCGAAAACTCGTGGTGTATTTGATAAAAAATATACAGCAAACTGGTCTACAGAAATTTTCAATAGTAATATAACTAGTGCAATGGAAATTATTGATAATTTTTGGGAAATTTGCCCGAATGCATTTTTAGTTGAAAAAGAGCACGAGTGCACGAAGTGCACGAGTGCCTTTTTCAGTTAAAAACGCATGAGTGCAAATTTGTCGAAAATTATAAATATATTTCCATTGCACGAGTTGTATTTAATGAGAGAATTTCATAAATCAAAAATTTAAATTTTTTGTCAAAAAATGTCAAAAAACCAGTTTTCGCACCAGTTAGTATGCAATTATCTGATAATTTGCACTAGTGCAAATTATCGCGTAATTAAAATCTGATTGGTTCAAATCAACAATCAAAACATGTCAGTTCATTGTTGGAATACCAGTTTTGACAGATGTATGAAATTCTCAGCATAAAAAAAATTCAGTTGACAAACCCAATAACATCTATTAGAGGATTTCAACAAACAGGAAATTAGCGGAGGATTCTATGAACTTCAATTACAAAAAGTTGAAAATCCAGACATTTACCTAGTTGAGAAAATTTCAAGACGTTCGAAAAATAAGGTATTTGTGAAATGGCTTGGGTTTGATAGTAAACACAACAGCTGGATAGATATAAATAATATTGCGTAACTGAGTGATAAGCATCAATAATAGCTATTTATATAACAAGTACATAAAGTAAGGCTTTATTGTACGAATAATTTTATGGCCGAGCGAGCTTGCGAGCGAGGCTATTAAATAATGAGTCAATAAAACCTGTTTATGTAAGCGTTATATACATGATTTTATGTACGATTATGACTGGTGTTTGTTAAAAATTAAAAAAATCTAATGAAAAAAGTTAAATTTGCGTAGGTATACCTGTTTCACCTTGGCAGGTTGTCAAAACTTGTTTTACCTTGGCAGGTTGTCAGGACCTGTTTCAACTTGTCAGGTAGTCCAGGTAGGCAATAAAGTAGCACTTTATTTTACTAGTAAAATAAAGTAGCACTTTATTTTACTAGTACAATAAAGTGCTACTTTATTGACGCAAAACTGTTCTATAAATAGCACTTTATTGGTCAATCGGAAATAAAAAGCTTTTTTTTCCTCAAATTGGTCATTATAGTTTTTTCCTTCAAAGAGTAAGCAAGTTCAAAAAATAAAATAAAAATGAATAGTGATTGTGCTCCATCAATAAGAACTGTATGGAATGACATATCAAAATCACCAGTTTTAACGGAAAGGTTTATAACCTATTATCAACTGGGATCTCATTAGTACTTACCAAACTTCACAAGAAGATTTCATCAGGATGTTTCTTACAAAAGTTAATTGGACACATATATTAAGGTATCAAAAGTTGAGTGAGTCCTTTATTGAAGAATTTAAAACGGCGGTCCATTGGCCTTTCATATCCAAATACCAAGTTTTATCCCATAAATTTATTCGAAAACATACCACATTAGTAAAATGGCATAAAATTATCAAACACCAAAAGTGTATAACAGCAGAGCTTCTTTTTGAAATGAAACATTACGTGGATAGAGATCGTAATGTTCACAATGCCAATACCCACCAAGTACACATGCCCCAGATGTAAGGGTGAAACTGATATACCCATTCGACCTTGTCACATCAAGAAGTAGACAATAATGCTTTCAATGGATGTCGAGTTGTCGAAATTGATTACTTTTTAAAGACAACAATATCTGCTCAACAGCGCCATAGCAAACACTGTACAGGAGGAAACTTACTTTTCACAAGGAAGTACGGTGGGTTTAAAGAGTGACTTTGCTTTGAAATGTAATATGTGTGGTAAAGAAATCAAGATTTCAAACGAAAATCCCGGTCATGTAGCGTCAGTGTTAAATAAAGCCGTAGTATGGGCTACAATAGCTACTGGAAGTACTCATACTCATACTTCAGAGTTTTTGAGCATAATGAATATTCCTGGGCAATCAAGCAGCCTCTTTTACAAAAGTTCTATATAGGTATGGCAGGATTCTTTGATTATTGCAATAGAAGAGGCCACAGTAGAAGAAAAAGAAATGACCATTGAAAGAGGTAACATTGATGAGAATGGTGTCCCATTTATAACAGTATTATTAGATGGAGGATGGTCCAAGAGAAGCTATGGGCATACCTACGATGCATGCTCTGGGGTAGTTGGTAAATGCATACATCAATATTTTGTATAGTTCATTGGGTTTCTTCTATTTTTAAAAATATAGTTCTATTGAATATTGTTAATCCAAATATAACATACTTTTGTTTTAGGCTGTTGTCATTGGCAAAATCAGAGGAAAGCTTTTGTTTGTTGTAGTTAAAAACAAACATTGTTCCATTTGTGCAAAGTATACTAATAAAGGCAAAGATATTATAGGACATGTATGTTTTAAAAACTGGAGTAGATCATCCAGTGCGACGGAGGCTCATATAATTGTAGAAGCATTCAGCTTAAGCATAGATACACATGGACTCAAATATTCAAAGTTCATAGCAGATGGTGATTCAACTGTTTTTGCAAGAATTAGAGAAAAGGTAACCTATGGGTTAGAGGTAAATATTCACAAATTAAATTTTTATCGCCTATTTATTATTCAACTAATGCATTTTATCAATTTTAGGTACAGGAGTCTGAATGCACAAATCACGTTTTAAAAAATTTTGGAAAATCATTAAATAAGATTAAAAGTGATACCAAAGGAGTGCCTCTTCCTGCAAGGAAACTCCTCACAAAAGAAAAAATGGAAGAGGAGTGCAATGTGCTATCTACGTGAATGTGCATGATGGTGACAGCTTGAAATCAGACATAAGAAACACATTTTATCATGTTTTTGGTAACTTGCATGCTGCAGCCGTACTTGTGCACAAATATTGGGGATGTATCCAAAGATAGGAGCCAAGTTGCCACAGAGTTCGGACTTCACCATCACATAATATTGGCTTCTATTCAGCAATTAACAACAAAAGCCCATCTACTATTGGACACGGAAACAAATAATAGAGCAAACTTTTTTATGAGCCTTTTAGCTCGATTTAATATGGGGAAAAGACTGAATCCTATACAGAGGGATTCATTTCAGATGAGGTCTCATATAACGGGATTGAAATACAATTATGGTTACAGGTGGCATAAAAAGCATTGGAAAACTGTTTTCAACAGAAGTCCTGGTAAACAGTTGAAACAATTTATGTCAAATCCAGAAAGAGCGAATTTAAAAAGAAAAAGTAATAATGAAAATGTTCCACTGAGAAAAAAAAATTGAAATTTACTAATGAAAAAAAAGGAGTATGTTTGTATGGTCCCAATATAGCTGAAGTAAGTTTATCAGAAAACGAACTGAAAAATGAAATAGAAAATTTACGCCTAAGATTACAGGTAAACAAAAGACGAGGTACCTTATACAAATGCTTTTAACATAAAAAAAATGGGAAATATTTCAGTTAAACTTTGAACAGCAAGAAAAAATCGCTGCTGAGACAATCGGTCAGTTTTCTAATTCAAAATATTTGACAGAAAAAATATTTCGACTAACAGCGTCAAATTTTGGAGCAGTCATTAAAAGGAAAGAACATACACCTTGCGATAATCTGGTCAAAAGACTATAGAGCCGTAAGCCATTTCCCAGTACTGCCTATGGAAAAAACAATGAAGCAGTTGCTATAATAGTATATTAGGCAACAAGTTTAGTGAAGTGAGGTTTTACCAATTGAGTGTGGCCAGTTTTGTGTACGAGGGAGCGAAGCGAGCGAGTGCTCTAAGGCCTCACGAGATTGGTAAAACCCTTTGCAAATGCGTTGCTTATACTATTTTATCGCATTTTGTCTTCAAATGGTTAAGAAAATGTTCTTATTTTTGACATGGCAACATAAATTTGAAATCATAACAGACCTGTGCCTTTTGGCCCATGCACGGCTAAATAGTTTTTTTTTCGGTAACTTAGAAACCGGTAACAATTATGAGAATTATTCAAACAAAAAATCAAAAATAATTTTCGGAATCGCGTCTAGTCAAATGAATCCGAAGATTTTGGAAGCGGCTCGTGCTGCTTCAGCAAGTCTGCTGCCTGAGAAATCAAGAGCAAAATATGAGAAAGTGTATGACCAATTCCGTCAATGGAAATTAACCAATAACGTGGAAGAAGTGCCGAATGAGAACCTAATGTTGGCTTTTTTTATGAAAAGGTAAATCAATTGAATATAACTGTTTCAAATCCTGTGTTCATGAGATATATTTTCCTTTTTTTTCCTAAATTTTGATAGAAATTCGAAATACAAATTTAGTTTTCATGACATTGACATTGTCAACGTTTAAGGTTCTTCTACACGACACTTTAAAGAACGTTCGGTTTTTATTGTTTCAGGCTAAAAACAATAAGGCTTCAAGTTTATGGAGCTATTATTCTATGCTGAAAAGCACAATTCAAATGAATGAAAATATAGACATCTCCTAGTTCAAAAAGTTGCTTGCATTTCTTAAACGCCCGAATGACAGTTACGAGCCCAAAAAATCGAAAATTCTTTCGATGGAAAATGTGCAAGATTTCTTAGAAAAAGCTCCAGATGTAAATTACCTCTTGATGAAAGTGGTCTTAATTTTTGGTCTAAGTGGAGCATGCAGAAGAGCAGAGCTCTGCAATTTAACAACGAATGATATAAAGGATAACGGATCAATGTTGGTGGTGACACTAAATGACACAAAAAACAAGAAAAAGAGGATGTTTGCTGTCACCTCAGAGTGCCATGGATATGAACTATATCAAAAATATGCACGGCTTCGTCCCAAACATATTAAACACTTTAGATTATTTTTGTATTACAATAAGAACAAATGTTCGTGCCAACCAATCGGCATTAATACAATCGCCGCCGTAACAAATAAAAATTGAAATACAAAATGGTTGCTATCAGTGACGTTGTTATGTGGTAAAGTGTTGCTATCGAGGTAAAGTAGCACTTTACCACTCAATTTTCAATGCAGTTATGTATCACATTACTGTCAAAAATGCGATAAAAAATTTTTCTGAAAAAACTGGGAAAAATGTAAATCCTGCTGGATTATATATAGATTTAATAGATGGGCTCTTAGTCGCTTCACCTGATGGTATGTTGAAATCAATAAGTTTTTTTGATTCATTTTCTCACTATTAACTAAGCATTATTTATTAATCAGGTGTCTTATTTCAGAAATAATAAATGATGATGAAATTGTTGAAGTCAAATGCAGTCTGAAGGTGGCAAACTCAGGAAAGACCTTAAGTTCGGCGGTAAGAGATAAGGATCTAGTTTACTTACATGAATAATGAAAATGATATAAAAATAAAGGAAAACCACAATTATTATTATCAGGTAGGTACTTATTCAATAACATAACTTTTTCACTTGAGCAACTATTGGAACCAAAATAAAATTAAGACCAGTAATATGAACGATTTCGCAAACAGCAATGCTTTTTTTGGTCAATTTTTTTAAACTTTGAAGTGTCATGATGTTTTTTGTTAGTAAAAAAAATATACAGTGCATACAGTTTTTTATATACACCGTGATTGTCGTAGCCCGTTTATTACAATTCAATTGGATTACAGGTGGATTAATAGAGATAGCATCTAATCCACCTGCACGCTAATGCACGGGCTACACGTAAATCACCCTGTATGCATAGATCGATTTGGCTCCCTATACATGCCGAATATGTCTGATTATATATTTGTTGTCGTTTTCGATTTTGCGGGTTTTACAAACTCTCTTCCGCTCGCATATTTAATAGACCCGCGCAGCTACTGCATCACGAAATAGTAATTAAAAAAAAGTCGGTAACCACTGAGAACCGATCTCCCGTCCCCAGCTTGAAAGCCCGCTGCAGCAACCACTAGGCTATCCTAGCAGTTGATAATAAATGCTGAAAAGGAGGAGGTAACATGCAATCATGAGGAGCGGTCAGTTACCTGGGGCATATTGGCACTTTGGGTGTCTCATACCTCATACTGATAATGGCGCAACTAATTCAAATTTCGGGTGTCGCATACCTCATACTGATAATGGGGTAACTAATTCAAATTTCGGGTGTCTCATACCTCATACTGATAATGGCGTAACTAATTCAAATTTCGGGTGTCGCATACCTCATACTGATAATGGCGTTACTAATTAAAATTAATGGGGGAAATAATTGTCGAGAAAATAAAAATTGTAAAATATTCAGTGGATCCATTGAGAGGCCGTGGACATAGACCGTGCATACCTTGGTGCTCCATACAAGGTGCTGATGATGATGTACCTCTCGCTCATACCACATACCTGTCTCTCTCTCGCACAACAAACACAAATTAATTTTGTTATGGTTTTGTAGGAAACCAGGTTTTTTTTATCAGCTCAGTGCATACATCTAATAGACAGCCATCGCCTTGGAAAAAAATGATTATAATATAAAAAGAGATTGTGTTAAGTATCGAAAAAGATCCTAGGTATTTTTATCAGAGGTTTCAATCAATTATTCCAAGAAATTCAGTACCTAACATTAACATGAGCACCTCACAATAAGTGATGTAATTATAAAATATCTGAAAAACACAGATTACTTTAAAAGTTTAATTCAAAACAAGTTGACGAGTCTAAACAAGAGTTGCGGTTTTTTGCTGATAACACAGATAGCCAATTATTTCAAAATAATTTCACTTACTTGTGTGATATCAACAAAAGGTACCAATCAATTATTCCAAGAAATTTAGCAGACAACAAGACCAAAATTTTTTTACACGTTCGCAAGAACAATTTGAAATAACTAGCGATGTAATTATAAAATATCTAAGAAACATAGATTAGTTTAAAAGTTTAATTTGAAAATGGACACTATACCAATCGAGTCTTGCGGTTTTGCCGCCATCATTACACTGATAACTGACAAAATAATTTTACTTTATAATATACCTACAATATATTTCATGTAAAAATCATCCAGCGCGCCAGCTACCGTCGCTATAACCCAGCACCTTTCCAAAGCCCACGTCTTCAGTCGATCGCACTAGCTTGCACACAGCCTTTGAGGCGGGGTCAATGACTGCATCATACATACAAACACACTTGCAATCCAGCACCCTCGCGCTTCATTATTCTCATACATAATCATTTGTCTCCAATGCTCCAATAATCAAACTAATCAATAATAATCACAACAAATAAGAGACACAGCATTTCGATTCATAAACCAAAAAAGCAAATTATTGTTTAATTTGAAAAGGTTAGGTAAAGTTATAAGAGGCGTTATCTCTCTGGAGTCTAGTCCAACCTTGAAAAAATATTGATTATAATTTTATATCCAAAA